TAATTTAGCTTGAAAAACATTTTAATTAATAAACCGAGTCAGATATGAGAAATTGTAAACAGCGAAAAAGAAGATATCGGCATCTTTGTATTAAAATTATTGTTATTATCATTTTGATGAACAATAAAACAAATCACAATTTTATTTTTATATCGATCGTTTAAATATCGGGAGAATCATCGAGATGTTCAGGAAAAGATCGCACTTTGTGTTATCCGAAATGTACTGTCTCTCTGCACGCACGCGAGAAATAGTATCAATAATCTTTATGTAACGATGTCGATCGACAAAGCGAAATGTGACAAAAATGTTAAAAGAACCGGTTGTCGCAAGCGATGATCCTGTTCGTTTTTGTATTCGATCGATACTATAAAGCTAAGAGCTGCGCGCCATTGCGGCCGCAGAGACATGACATAATTGGCGAGCATCGTTTCAGCTACATTTTTTCTTTATGCGTGGCGTGAGTCGAAAGACCGGTTCCTTACCGTTCTTGTTTCCTCGAGTGGTCGACCTTGAAACCAGCTGACAGACCGAGAAAGACGAAACGAGAAGGTAAAGGAAGATGGGGGATTGCGCAACGCTTTGAAATATCGCGATTTTCGAGATTCGTATCGACAACGATCTTTTCGATTGTTTGTTTCACGTTCGATATCGCGAACTAAGCGTTTTTTCAACTAAGCGACCTTTTTTTTCCGCGTTTCTCTCATCTTTTTCTCCGGTTCCGTCACCTCATCTCTCATTTCTCATCAATATTTGCAAAACATCTCGACACCGTCAACAGGCGTTGTTGCGTAAACTGTGGATTTTAAATATTCCAAGGAGCAACGATTCGAGTGGACTCAAAAATTTCAGAGAACAAACTGATCGCGGACGATCCGGACTCGAGCGCCGACTGTTCATCCGTCGACAAAAATCGTCGATTGAAGAAAGATCGGTGAAAAATAAAAAAAAAACCGTAGCCCGTAACTCGGAAACGAGATAACATCGGACGTGATTTTATGTATGTGAACTTTCTTATTATTTTACAACAATTCGCCTCGGAGCGAACGGAGTGAAAGATCGGTAAAAAGTTTTACGGCCGACATTCTTGAGATAAAAGGCAACGCACGTATACCACGAGACTATATAAGAGTTGCGGACAATTGATACGCGGTCATTGTTAAATATGTGTGCGAGAGGATCGGTGGAAGAAAGTTTTACGACGAAGAACATTCTCTTCTCGTGCTCTCCTTTCGATCCTTTCGCTGCGGCGCGCTTTATCTCGAGAATCGTTTCCGCTATGAAAGAGAGACGACAGTTAATTATTGGTTTATCGTTTCTCGAAAAAAGTTTCCGCGGAAAACTTGCCTCACGCTATCGACAGTTTATGTACGCGATATATGTACGTATACGTGACCGCGGATGTGTAATTCGGTTATTAATGGCCGAACGGGCACGGGGATTTCGCAAGTAATCGTCGATTTTCGAAGTCGGCCGTTACACAACATTTGAAAATGAAAGAAAGAGCAGCTTCCCTGTGTTCGCAGATCGAAAGGGAGGATAGAATAAAAAATCAAAAAAATTGCGATATTGGTGAGCCGCTCGTGTGACAGACGGAAAGGATCGAAAAAAAAAATCGAAAGCGATGGCGTTTCGGTTTCGTCAGAAACGATGGGGGAGACTATCTGTCAGCTATCATCATGGTTTCGAATGTAGAAAGACGGAGTGGCAGCAGGCAAGCACGCGGAGAGAGGAGAGAGCGATAGAGGGAGGAGGAACCGTAAGAGAGCGCCATGTTCGCCCTCTGACGCTCTTTTGAAGGTCAAGGTTTTCCGCCCTTCGCCGGCCGCCGCGCGAGAGAGGAGAACGGCGGGGCGAGAGAGCGAAGAGAACGATGGGAAGAGACAGAGACGACTATATACCGAACCCGATGGTGGGTGGCTCAGCTGCGAAAGGAATGAAGAAAAAAAGCAGTCAGTGTGTTATATAGAGTGTATATGTACGCGTGGGTGGTCGGTTTGAGGGAGAGGGTGAGCTGTAGGGCAGAGGGAGAGCCTATAGGGGGTAGGCGAGAGCCTGGTGCCCAGTATTTATAGCGCTTGCGAACCGGTCGATAACGGATAGCGACACTGCGCAGTTGGAAAACCCCCTTACATCGAAGCACAACCCACGCACGTTTATACCTCCTTTTCCCTCACGTCTTCTCTCACTGCCGCCAACCCCTTTCGTTTCATCTCTTCGTCTTTCCTTCCTCTTCCCTCTTTTCTCCTACTTCTTGTCCTTTCGTTCTGTTCCACCTTCTTGGGTTCCTTTATATTATCGGCTTGAATGTAATTTTTGCTCTGTGACGCGCGAAGTAAACATTTAATTATCTATTGTGTCGTTCGCACGTGATATAAATGTCCTTTTCCTCACTTTTTTTTTTTTTTTTTTTTTTTTAAATAAATGCGGCAGATATATCTTCGTTCGCGGTACGTACCGTACTGTATTCTTGTCACGCCTTTTGTTTTTTTCCCTCGTGTGGTTTCAGAATAAAGAATTATAATGAATGTGTTGGGGGATTAACTCGCTTCTCTTCTCTGGATTTCATAAATTTTTCTCTCGAGGAGATTTTTTTATTTTTTTAATTATATTTTTTTTTTATTATACATGAAGCGCGCACTTTTCTCTCAGACTTCTATGTATACAAATATATATTTCATTGTATAAATCTAAAAAACACATGTGCACACAATTTTCCACGTACTAGGTTTTAAAAGCAACATTTTCTTAGTGAACAACGTCGAAATGTAATCGATACGTAATAACGGCCTCTTGCTTTTACCGTGTTGAAAGTTTCCTAATTGATGCGTCAAATATCATTAAAGTCAAGCTCGCGCTTGTCACACAGCCTAGCCTAGCCGAGCTCGCACAAATGACGGTCTAATAAATTCACGTAAAAGATTACGTTGGTAATTCGTGTGAGCGAGCGCAAAGATTAAAGCGAACTAATTTGCACACTTAATAATTTAAAATGACTCTACTTTTTACCTTGTGATAACATCTCTTTATTGTCTCTCATGAGTGTCATGAGGAAGACGACGAGTTCTTGAGAAACGGTTCTGCGATATTGAAAGTCAAGGAAACAATTTTCAAACGTTACACAGAAAGATGAGGCCAAAGTTTCAATTGCGTGTTCTTTTTTTCTTTTTTTTTTTTTTTTTTTTCACGCAAACATGCAACAAGCGAAAAAGCCCACGGTTGAGAACGGATACAGCTTGAGGTAAAAAAAAAAAAAGGGAAGTAGAATGGCGAACCACACAGACGAGAGAGCGAGAACAGAACGAAAGGATAAAATCCTGTCGGGATATAGAAGGGGAGTAGAAGGACAGGTGGGGTGACAGGGGTGGGAAAAAGAACTCGTGGTAGGCGGAGTAATGCGTCATGGTTGTAATGTGGGGGTAAGTGCATTGCCATCCCTTTCGTCCTTTATCGGGGCGCATCGGGGAGGTGGCCGGCTAAAACCCTCTCTTGCTCCCAATAAACGAGGAAAAGGCAGAAGGAAGGGATGGACTCGTTTTGGTGCGACGGAGGTAGCGAAGTAGTTGGAGAAGATGAGCACCTCGGATGCATCTCGTTTTCTCGACGAATTTACGAGAGCGTAAAGGTCACCGTATATCTTCCCATCGAGGATGAGTGGTAACGTTCACGATTTGATATCACGATATGTCGTAACGACATTTGTGATAATTACAGGATCTGCTTTATCGATACGCACGAAATCTCGAATTTTGTTCCATCGATATTAATTAATTTCAACTTTTAACTCTAGTCTGATTGTCGAGAACTACCTATATGAAAATTGATACTTTCAATACTCGATCGTTAACTTACGCTATCTCCAAAAGGAGGTGAAATTCTCGAGTTCTCTTCGCATGACTATACTATATCAACATGTTTTTTCCATAAACCCTATACTCTCGAGAATCAATAATTCAAAGCAAACTGATCCGGATCGTGTGTGCAACTTGTTTTGGATCTCTCTTTTGTGTGTATGTGTGTGTGTGCGTGCGTGTGTGTGTGTTGCGAGGGAGAGCAACACTTCAACACAAATTTATTCGAGAAGTATGGAAAACCAGGCGCGGAGGTGCTGGGTTACGAAGGGAGGGCATGGCCTGATATCCTATCGTGGTCCGGAGGGAGATTCTGAGGAGGGTGGTACACCCTCCGCTCGGTGAGGACGGCTGCCTCTCTCTCTCTCTCTCTTTCTCTCTCCCCGAAGAGAGGGGAAGCAGCTCGTTGGAAAATTTACGTTGGTAGCGGATGGACTATAAAGGTCGCCGTTGCTAGTGTCTGTCTTGTTTGGCGCTGTCGCCACCGGTTTGTTCTCGTTTGTAAAAAACCGAGAGCAGATCCTAAGAGTGCTATTATTGCTCATCTCAAATCTATAACTGTGCACTTCATGGAGACTCTCTTCGAGAGAAAAAGAATGGGAGAGACGACAAAAGGGAGATGAGTTGTTTTTTTTATAGAAACATTTTATAGAAATTGAAATTAAAAATAACAAACGACACACAGATGTAGAAAGAGAAGAAGAAGAAGAAGAAGAAGGGGAGACAAGGAGGGAAGACGCGAAACAAATAGGTTAGAATAAGCTTGGGGTGAACAAAGAAACGCGTAGAGAGAGTGCGAAAGAGAGTGCGCGAGCATATGTCCGGCGGCGCGCATAGTCTCTTCCAGTCATTTCCGGTTTTCTATCGACGCAGAACTTTAGATCAACGAGTATATATATATATATTAATAAAAAGATGGCGGATCAATCTCTCTCGTGAGTAGAAAGTCAATAGTCGACAATGATGATTGCAATCGTTGCTACATTTTCGAAATAAAATTTCTTTTTTTTTTTTTTTTTAATAATTTGTCAACACAAATTTATATAAATCACATGCAAGTTACATAAGCTTAATATAAGTGTACAATATAGTTAATCGTCACGTATATGTATTTTTTAACATGTCCTCTTTCTTTTTGATTGGTTTCAGTGAGCAGACTCCATTGTGAGTCGGAATCCTTCAAAATGGATCTCATTCTGGATATTAACTGTTGGTTATATCCCATGGAGTTGGGTAAGTTCATATATTCAAACAATTGTGGTTACAGGGAGTACACACACACACACACACACACACACAAAATCAAGACGAAAGTTACCGCATAACATTGCGCGAATTTTCCCTGTGTGCTATTCACTTTGACGAAAGACATTTTGTCCACACTACTAAAGCTCGATCGATTCTTGTTTTGTGTATCTTTTGTCGCTTCAGAGCGTCGAATCAAGAGCCTTGACGTTACTGCCGAGTTGTGTGTTGTTAAGAAAAGAAGTAAATTAATAAGAGAGAATTTTTTTCTGTTTGCGATTAGAGTTTCAATTTGATTTATAATCCATTGTTAATCTAACATCATTGAAAAATCATTCGAAAAATTGTAAATTTGTAATTTTGTCAGTCGAAACATTTCACGCCACTAGAAGAAGACCCAGTTCAAGGATCGAAACGTCTGGCATCACAAATAAAGAATTTGTTCACCATACACGTACACCAAGTATTTTTTTTTTTTTTTTTTTTTTTTTACCTCACGTATCGACCTATATCTAACACACCCCATTAAGAATTTTTCCTGTTGGAAAAACAGTTTTATACTGTTAGAAAAAAACTGATTAAAACTGATTAAATAAAATTTGTCTTAAATTCGTATAATTTGCCGATTATTTCTATTATCCGTTTAGAACATTCTCTGTTTTTCTCGAATCACTTTCGGGTGATTCATTCTGTATTGACTCTTTCGTAAAAACAAACAAAAAAGAATAAACAAGAGTTTTATACCGGTTTTAATCCGCCATCTTTTTGAAATCATTCATCCGGATGTATCAAAGACACGATGACGTGTGATTTACCGTAGAAGCTAGCCATCTTTGACGAGCACGTGGCTTGTCGCAAAGCTACGTAGTCGTTGATGCTGCCTCGTCCCGGCACTTCACCAATAGGATCACGCGCCGACCGAGAGCCCGACTTCGAGATTCGTCTTAGCTCCGCCCTGGATTACCGATGCGACTGTGACGATTGGCAAAGTTCGGCCAAACACTAAGGGCAGCAATGTTGTTTTTGTGACGCCGTAATATATCTATCGCGTCTATTAAAATGATCGCTTCTCAGAAAGTTTCTTAAAAAAAGTCATTTGTTTTTTTTTTGTTAGGCCGAACCGAATTGGTCATTTGTAAAATCGAATTATTTGTTGTTACATGATATGTGTATATATGTATATATTCAACATTTCAATAACAAGCTTATCATTATGAAAGATACATTGTTGGCTCGTCCACAAGACAGTGTTCCGTGAGAATAGCCATTGTTACTCGTTGCACACACATTATTCTGGAATTAGATAAAAAAAAATCATATATACCTTCAATATTCCTTCGATATAGATAACTAGATAGGGGGACGGCCGTATAAATACACGAATACGTATATGCGTATATACATATATGCGTATATACATATATATACATATATATAACACGTATATGCACGGAAAGAGTGGAGCACAAGGTCCAGGCAGGCGAGTCTCTCCGCTGTATTGACGCGCAACGTTTAGGCTTGCGCGAGATGACGCAATCTCTCCCACTATAATGTTTTCTCTCTCTCTCTCTCTCTTTCTCTCCCTTCCTCCCTCCGTTTCCTCTCACGCTCCCCTCGTTCCGCTAGCTCAGCTGCGCCCCCCACTTTGGCGCCCTCTTCCGCAGGCGCAGATCCCTCGGCACGCACCTCGCCTCTCGCGTTGCCCCGCAAGTTCAATGCCAAGGTCAACACGACGCGCAGCCGTATCGGTCGCGAGCGCGCGCGAGACTCGGTTGTGTCCTCGAGGAGGCGGCGAGTCGCGTCCAAGCTCGCTTGTCCGCTCCGTGTGTCCGTACATCCCTTTTTCCGCATAAGCGCAGTAATCTACTTATCGTCGTTTGATGACGAGGAAGCGCGTTGTTGTTCCGCGTTTCGTTGTTTCGCCGTTTTCTCCGCATGTAATAAATTTGTTTTTTTCTCCATTTTTCTCACTTGACTTAACGAGAGTCGCGAAAGGACAGCAGTACGCGTATACACACAAACGCGCACACACATACACACATACACTCGGCGCAAACCGGGTTACGTACGCGACGAACACGATCCGGAGTGCTGTGGATGAGTTTCGCAGGTGCGACACCGCTCTTCTGTATTCGAACGTGGCCTAACGTCTCTCTCGATAACGAGCGGAGCGGACATTTTGAATATGTGACGACGAAGCGCGCGCGGGCACCGCGTTTTCGAGGGGGAACTTGACCGAATACAGCCGGCGCGACGACATATGTCGCACGTTTCTCTGACGGTAGAAATATATCGGGCGTTTCAAGTGCAAGACAGATCGTCCAAGGTTTGCGCGAGAATTATATTTTTTGAGGGGTTCTCTTTCTTTATACCTCTTCGTTTATTTTACACGCTGTCGTCATCGACGGAATAGACGCGTGGGCGTCAACGAGGAGAGGGATGAGGGGGTCGGGAGAAGGAGGATAGATAGTGCGCAGCAGCAATCGAGAGTGTCGATTTGTGATTTCGTGAATCTTCGGCTCTCGGGCGGAGAGTCGAACGACAAGGTCGCGTACGTAAC